CTCTCTGTACCAAAATCAGCCAAATCACATATCTTAGTGTGAAAATTGAACTTTGTCATAAGTCTTTATCATTACACAGGCTGATAGCAATTGTGAAAGATTTAAGGTAAGTGTGGTTACCACATTACATTGAATTGATACCCTACTATTCCATTAACTTTAGCACTCAAAGCATTTTGCAACAAAGATGGAATGAGTAAAGCATGACAATAAAATAGATGATCCAAACTCAAATCACAAAATAAAATGTAGAAAAAGATGTGTTTTGCCAACTTCCTGCATGCTTGGAAGTTAGGAACCAAACACATCTTAGGAAACAATAGCCACTACCTACAAACCCAATGAAAACACAGGTCAAGGAGCACTTCCTAACTACACATCAGCCCTTTGAGCACAAGCACAACTCCACTTCCAAACAGCACCTCCATTTATGTACTCTACAATCTTTGCACTTTTACAACCTTGAGAATGGTTTAAAAATTACTAAGAAGGCATCTTCCCAGCTAATCATTGTTCTGAAAGCCAAGTAGTGTTAAAAACCAGCCAAGAAAAAGACTGACAAAACTAGCTGAGGTTTGTTCAGAAGTTGAGCTCAACTTGAAGAAAGTTTAATAGGAATTCGCTAAATTTTGCTAATTTTCAGAGTAAGAAATGGCATGAAGGATAGGGATTGTATCAAAAGCAGCCGCAGCATTTGGATGAAATCTTCAGAGTTCTGTCTATGGCACCATCATTGCTGCAGTTGCTCGACCCATCTCTGTCTTTCCTGGAAAAGACAGCTGCACCTCTTGACTTAATTTCCTGTTGTTCAAGATGTGCACAGTTCTTATTTTATTACGGTGGTCTTCCTTTTACTGATGCATACTGCTTTGTATACCAGATAACGGAAAAGCAGCAGAAAATTATAGTTAGTACAGTAAATTAAAAGAATAGTAGGGGAGGGTAGACAAGGGAAATTGTAAACAGTATGGACCAAAGATGTGCAGATATGAAATTTGCTAGCGGAATATATTTGTTTTATCTGAGGCAATCTGGTGCCTTCAGATGTTTGGGGACTGCAGTTTCAATCAATTCCAGACAGTTTAACACGGATCTCCTTTTAGGGATAACAAGAATTTTAGAAGAGTCCTTATTTCAAAGCTAATCTGATCACAGTATATTTTATGGGAATCTTACAGGATTGTGCAGCTATTCAGATCCAAAATAGAAAAAAAAATGCTTTGGAAGTGATGTGGTTATGGTTTGCTGCACCTTTTCCTGATATCAGGAAAGAATGTGTTTGAGCTAAAGAAGTGTTAAGGAGGTGGTGGCAAAGACATGCACCTTTTTAATACTTCTGTAGTGGAAACATTTTCCTGGAATGATACAGCTATCACAGAAAATCAAAGAAAGATATAGACTCTTTAAAGAGGTGCCAGCAGGTGCAGTAACTATATTCATCTTATTGAGTCAAACACCATCCGACACATCTGCCAAATTGCTGCTGCATTCAGGCTGCTGAGAAAATGTAAGGATACACTCAGGATACTTGGCACCATTGATTAACAAACTCTAGCCAGGATGATTGTTGTTATCACTTTGGAATACCTTATATATTTTTTTATCCAGAGAATTTCAATGTCCATGCTGAAGTTGCCCCATGAGAAATGGTTAGGATTTCATGGACCTGTTTTGATATCTGACTGCATATCCAGTAGGATGCACAATGGATTTATGTTTGGCTATTCTGTTTGGCTAGTGTGCTAATGATCTGCTAGAGCAGGAGTGTCAAACTTGTGGCCCACAGCCAGGATGCACTTTCCCTGGTTTAGTGAAAGGGGAAAAATTCACGATATGTCACGTGACAACACGCTTGACACCCCTGTGCTAGAGGATCATTCCGTAACTCTAGGTTAATGGGCAGATCATTTTCTGGGCATATTTAGAGCAGCAGCTGCTACAAAACTTTGTTTAAAAATTCAAACATCTGGATATATATAATTTGGGGAAGGGGAGGATGAACTTGGAGAATCTCCCATCTAAAATGCCTTTATTATTATCAAAATCCTGGTCTGTAGAATATAGTAATGGCCTAAATAGTTGGTACTATAGCATCTAAATGCCCTTTTCTCTTCAGCAGAAGTCAGTTGACATCTTGGTTATCAGAAAACTGAGAACAATTAAGCAAACAAAAGAACAGAAATAGAGGAAATATAATGAGCAATCAGGCTGAACCATAGGAGTTTTTAAAGGCCCATTTATCATTTAATTTTTAGACTGCTGCACTCTTAAGACACTTGAAATATCTGCAGCAGTAATTGCCATAAGGACATGTCTCTCTCCATTATGTCTGCACAGCACAGTCTTATGCTTTAGAAAAAAATGCTGCAACCCCATCAGGATTTTGGAAGAGTGCCAAATTCAGAATCCAGCTCAGGAATTTTCACTTTTGTTTGTTTGTTTCTGCAAATAAAACTGATCAGATCTGTTTCAGTTTGGATTCTCTTCTTGAGACAAGTCATGTTCATATTCTTTTCACCTGAGGAAATGGACTGGATGTGTGGCGATGAAAGCTACCACTTGTTCATTCCTTATTCTTCTGAGGAGAATAAAACAGCTACATTCCGACAACTTTATAATTAAGGCAGGTGAGCAATTCTTTCCCAAGTGTGGAATGTGACCTGCATACTAAACGTAGGCAGAAGCCTTTATTTAAAAAGACCCGTTTCCCTGAAAAATCTTAATAATTGTAGGTTACTCAAATATTCTACTCTTGGATGAAATATTGATAAAGTGATGACATCACAATTCCGGATGCATCATACTCATTTCAGTAGTGTTCCTTCCAAGATAAAATATTGAGACACCTTTGATATCTGGAAAAATGATCTATGCCAGAGATCTTAGCTGGTGGAAAGTGCACCTTCTACTGGACCTCTTGGCTGCTTTCTACCGTCCAGGCTTTCTAATGGGTTGGGCCTTGGGGATATGGTTTTGGAGGGACACCAAACTTTATTTCAGAATGTGTCCAGAAGGTGGTGCTGGAAGAATATTGTTTGACCACTAGATATTGACCGATGGAATGCTACATGGTTCTTTCATGGTTTTTTTCATGCTGTTTAATATCTAAGATATCTAATATCTTTTTGGAGAAATATTATCAGGATGCCAATGACAATTCTATCCTTCTACTTACTTTTTAACTCCAAAGGAATAATCAGTACCCTTGAATGCTGTCTTGGTGATGGGCTGCATTAAGAAAGAGCTGAAATTAAATTCAAAGAACAATGAGGTGCTTAACTTGGGATCAAAGCAAAGCTAGTTCTGGGTGGGAATGCATCCCCCATAAAAAGCAGACTCACAATTTGGGATTGCTCCTTGATCTTTAGCCGACTGGATTTGCAAGTGCCAGCTTTGGCAAGGAGCACATTTGCACAATTATAGTCAGTGCATCACTTCCTGAACTTTGACACAACATCAGTGATCAATGTCTCAGTTACAACCCATCGTGATTAATTTGAAGTTCTTTTTGTAGGTTACCCTTTAAAGAGACTGGAAATTACAACTGGCTATTGACCTGAGCAAGCTACAGAGATAATGTGGATTCTGTGGTCAAGCTACTATAATATGGATTCTGTGGTGCATGATCTGGACTGATGCCTATTGCTTATAGGGGCCAATTTAAGGTCTTCATATGGACCTTTAACTTAGGACCTCGTTTGTTCCTGTCCTGCTTACAGAAATCTGCTGGAACTCTTCTGAAGATGCCTTCTCGTCCAACCTGAACCTTTGCTCTAGAGATGTGGGAAAGGATCTCCTGTGGCTCTGAAGTTATGGAATGTATTCCCTACTGAGCTAGTTTGACTCCTACACTCAAAACTTTAAGGAAGATAGCCCAAAGCACCTCTTCAGCAAGCTTTTCATTGTTAATTGTTTTAATGATTGGATTTCGTTTTCACTTATTTAATTTTGTTATATTTATTTACACTTCTTGTGGTGAGACATCCAGACAGTCCATTTGGTGTAGTGGTATTTAAAACATCAGGCTAGAAACTTGGACACCCTGAGTTATTAGACAGCCGGATGACTTTTCGCCAGTCACTTTCTCCTCAGCCCTGGGAAGCAGGCAACGTCAAATCGACTTCCGAAATCTTGATCTTGACAGGAAAACCGCAGAGACAAATTCAGGCGCTCACCAGGAGTCAGAATCCCCCGTACCCAAAGAAACAGTCACAAGTTGACCTTACTTCATACTTAAGTGGTCAGAGTACATAAGTGCACTAACACGCCTGTCGTCCCTGTCATTGTATTTTTATTCTCTTGTTCTCGTTTTTCGTTTGACAACTGCCAATAAATAAAAGAAACCAAATAAATAAACAGACCCTGACACAGGCAATTGAAATCTCCCTCAAAGGTGAGCTTCCTTGGGGACACCCACCAACAAACAACGGCCGGAGGCCCCGCTCTTTTGCTCCCCTACTCCGTTCGTTTCCAAGAAAGCCGTCTCGCTCTTCCTCAGGGAGCCCGGCGTTAAGATCGGCCGAAGGCTCTCCGCCGCGCTTCTCCCACGCCACCCCGAAGGGCGAGCCGAGACGCGCACGCCTGCGCCCCAGACTCTTCCCGGCAGCGGGCGGCATGACCGCCTCCGAGCTCGGAGGGTGGGGAGGGGAGCGCCAGGCAGGGACGCGCGGGGTGTGGGGGAGAGGCTCCCTCCTGCCGCTTGCCTCGTTGCCGACCTCTTCCCTTCGCCTCCTGCGAGGACTGGGATTAACTGCAGCCGGGCGCCCCCAGAGGGCCCCGCTGGCGCTCAGTTCCCGGCGCGCTGGGCTGGGCTGGGTTGAGGGCGCCTCCTAGAAGAGCCGGTGGGGAGGCCGCTCCGGCGCCTTCGCTTCTTTGCATCTCCTCCCAACCTGCCGTTGCCGCCGGTGGTCGAGAGACCCAGGGCTGTTCTCCCTCTCTCTTTTCTTTCTTTCTTTACACCCCCTCCCCCTTCTGTCTGTGTCTGTCTGTCTTCCCTTGTCGACATGGATTTTTCTCTGAGGGTCCTCGTTTTATCCTGGCTTTGCCTGGAGACTTTAGGGGACTTCGACGGAAGGTAAGTTGAACGGTTTCCTGGAAGGAAAAGGTTGGGGGAAACGAAAGAAAGGGGGGCAACACCCGGAGCCCACGTTTCTTTCTGGAGAACGAGAAATGGTCCAATTTGCTAAGGGAAAGAAACAGTTCACAACCTTTGGCGCTGTCTGCTGTTTTCCTCACTAACGTCTAAGAGTGGCTCAGACGGGGCAGAAAACCTGTTGGAGGAGGAATCGGACTGCACTCTTTTTTCTTTGCACAGGATCCAGAACATGCTCCCTTCAAAATCTAGCAGTTTGTCCAAAATACGACTGTGAAAGTTTTCACTTAATCGAGGAAACAGAACTGGAAGCGACCAGTAACAGAGGCACCTGCAGTAGGAAGTTTGCAAGACCCTAATACTCCTAAATAGATAAATGAAACACCAGATTTTATTTTTGTGCTCCTTTTTTAAAAATAAAGTATAGCCTTTAGGTGCAGGAAGCAGTTCATGTGCCTAAAAAGACTTTATCACATAAAGATTGGCACATACTTCCATATAGTAGCCCATTTGATCAAATGCATGACTTATTAATGCACCTCTTTAAAGTTTCAGGAAGACTCCTGTTTGTTATTTAGCATTTTTGGTTTGGTTTTGTTTTTCACTAATTTAAGGCTATCCCTCTGGAAGTCATGAACCTTGAATTGTTACAAGGATTCCAGTAGTCCTTTGAAGTTGGTCAGTTTCAAATTCCTAACACAGGGGAAAAGCTACTTTGTGAATGAGAGACTGATTCAGCGCCAGGTTTTCTGATTTGTAGTTTGGTCTCTGAACGGCTACACTGCACTGATTCTCACTGAGGAAGCCATCTAAACTAGGAAGGCTTACAGCTGGCATCTTGGCATTTATTTGAAAATAATTTCATCCCTTCCAATCCAACCTACCTCTAATGAAATGTGAAGTCTTAATCTGAACTGATTATTTTTTGACACAGATAGCTGTAATAGTCCTAAACACATCACTGGAACAGCTGAATTATTTTAAATATCTAAACTGAGTGATAGGAACTCTGTGTTATTAGGTATATCCACCTGAAGATGTCTGGATTTAAGTCTACAATCTTCTGTAAAGCTCAGTCTTTTACTTTAAACACCTTGCTAGTAACAGAAACCACAGTACAATGGATTTTTGATAGGGTTCGGCATTTTACACATTAGTGTAGATGGAAAGAATCTAATATGCATTTGAACGCGCAGGAAGAATACTAGCAAGAAAAATTGTTCTAGTTTAATTGATAGGCTACTGAGAGGTGTGTTACTGCATCTGTAGGGATGGTAAACATAACATATGATTATATTCTATGCATATTAATCATATTCTGTTGCATGTTATTGTGAAAATAACATGTTCTCAAAAGGTAAACATGGAAGAAAGAGCTTTAAAACAAACTGCTTTAATTGCTGAAGTGGTGATTTCCCCATTCATGCATAATTATATGGATTGTCATACCAAGTAAATGCAAACTCCAGAACATCTGTGTAGCTTCAGTGTTTTCGGGTGACATGAGAAAAGAATGGCTATCTCCTGTCAGATAAATAATGCAGTTGACAATAAACTAGGGACTATTTATAACCCTGTAAAATTTTTAATTTCTTTTTATACCTGTATGTTTTCCAGGAATGTTTTGATATCTTTAAACACATATGTAAAATAAACATTAATCAGACAAGCTGTAACCTTAAGGGCACAATTATATTCCACCATTCAATGCAAATATTTCAGTTGTGTAAAGATGCATGATAGGCAAGTCTTGACAGGCTTAGGCAGTCCAAGTTTCTTTTGAAATACATTGAAATACAACCTTTCTGTAACTGATAGACCTATTAGATATATTATCTTTGTGTAATTGTTGAATAGATCATAACTGCAGTACTTTGACCTCATTTATCAAGCCATTTTCATTGGAACAGAGAATAATACAGATACGGAGCTGGTTTTTAACTAGGTATCGCAATGCAAACAGTCAGGAGGAACAACTCTAAATGGGATCCTGTACATGGGAATTGTTTATCTCTCCTTGTGATTTGAAGCCATGAAAAGAACACCTGCTCTGTTTATTGACTGGAACTGATAAAAGCCTCCGTACTTACTTGGTTTTTGTAATTCATGAAGATATTTAGGAATAGTGAAGAATAACAGACCTTATGGCTATACCAGTAGGCAAATCTCATTGTAAAAAGCAAATCCTTCTTTAATATTATACTAGCCTCTTTGGTCTCTGCGTATGGACTATGTTCCAGTCTCCAAAGACTCAGAGGCTGGGGGACCCAGAAATGAACTGAAACCCAGACCTGCAACACAAACTATTCTGGTTATACTATAGACCAGGGGCCTCCAACCTTGGCAACTTTAAGCCTGGCGGACTTCAATTCCCAGAATTCCCCTGCCAGCTTTGCTTTGGGAATTCTTTGAGTTGAAGTCCTCCTGGTTTAAAGTTACCAAAGTTGGACATCCCTGCTACAAACCCCTGTGGATTTGGAAACATAACTGCAGATCCTAGACTCATGTCACTGGTAACTTAATAGAAACCATCATCAGTCAACTGATTTCCACTTTGAGTTGAAGCTATTCATGGTTGATTTTCGTGTCCAAAGCCCATCTCTAAACACTCTTTACTATTTAATATCAAGAACCATCAGGATAGATTTTATAGAGCCTTGCCATCACATTTTCTAATAGTCCTGGGGATAGACTGGCTTAAAACTGATAATGCATATATTAATTAGGGCCAGAATGACTTAGCTTTTGGTTCTCCTGCCTACAAAGCTTACAGCCTGCAGGACTTTAAACCACCCACATTGCATCCTCTAGCAGAACTGCCCTTCTTTGCCTGGCAAATATGTGGACCTTTTTAAATTTATTTCTTGTTTAATTCAGTTTAGGCACCGCCCAACTGCAATTGCTCTGAGCAGTTCACAAACAATAATGTTGATGTGTTTAGAAATGGGGAGACAGTGATTGTGACACCCATCAATTTTGTGATTGTACTTTCTGTCTTATTCCTGAAGTTCGGAATCTCACAAAACATCACAAAGACAGTTGGATATCTAAAGGACTTTTATTAATAAGATCTTGCAGAAAAACTTTTATCTGCTCATTTCTTTCCCCGGTAAGTGCCCTGCCTTATTGATGCCAAATCCTTGACCCTATACCTGTTAATGATTATTCTTGGGTGAGCTTCAAAAATTTTAGCAACAGGTTCTCTGTCCGGTTTCTGGGTGGGTGTGGCCATGGTGGGCGTGGACTAGTCAGCCTCCGGCACCATGGAAGGGGCATTTTTGTCCTCCCTGAGCTCCGGAGGCTTTCCTTGAGCCTCCAGGAGGGTGAAAATGGCCTCCTGGGCTCTGGAGGATCTCTGGAAGCCAGAAACAGGCCCATTTCCGGCATTCCCAAACTTCTGGGAGTCCCGTTTTTCACCCTCCCCAAGCCTCTGTGCACAGCCTGCACTTACCTGCATCCAAAATGGACTGCATGGGGACTCCTGGGAGGGGAAGGGGAGAGGGGGTGGGCGGGAGCAGCCAGGAGTGGGGTTTGGGGGATGCACAGAATCTTAGCTAGGGGCTCTCCCATACCCCTGAGAACCCCCAGCAGCCCACCCCTGAATTTATTATCATCTTCCCCTTCTTGTTGAAATCTACAAAAATCTACACATCAGATCTCAGAAGAGCTTTCAAACTGTTTGACATGAAAGAGGGTTATAGGCATCTAATTCCCACTGATACTCATTAATGAAAGTTTGAGTGTTTAATAATATCATTTGGATTGGATAGTTCTTCCTCAGCCTTAATGATATTTATGAACCATGTTTATCAAGACATATTGGAGACCATTCAGATCATCTTTGGGGGGGATAATTTGTTTATTTACTCATTGTCCACACGAGTCAAGTATGTGCAATTCTGCAGTGCTTATAAATACATATTCTCTAGTCTATACCAAGGGTCTCCAACCTGTGGCTGCAGCCCACTACCGGGCCTTGACCCATTCAGAACTGGACTGTGGAAGTGGTGGGCAAGTGTGAGCAGAGGGCAAGTGCATACGTGCACACTCCATTTGCCTGAGCAGTGGATGTGCATGCCTGCCACTTGTGCAAATGGACCCTTGCACGTGTGTGTGCTTGCTCGCCACTCATGTGGAACCATCCCCTCTCCTCTCCACCGCCGGTCCCCAAAACCCGAAAGGTTGTCGACTTCTGCTCTATACTATGCTGAAGAAATGGGCCTTTCTTTGATCTGTCGGTCTAAGTTATTCTATTTCTTCAAGGAGAATTCAGCTGGATTCAGTTAAAGATGAATTTAGTGAATTTTGGAAATCTCCCATCCTGTACATATACACAATCCTTTACAGGTAGTCCTCAACTTACAATGTTTAATGACCGTTCAAAATTACAACATCACAGAAAAAAGTGACTTATCACTGTTTTTCACACAACCGCTGTAGCATCTCCATGGTCATGTGATCAGAATCCAGATGCTTGGCAACTGGCTCATATTTACGACGATTGCAGTGTTCCAGGGCCGTGTGATCCCTTTTTGTGATCCTCTGATAAGCAAAATCAACGGGAAAGCCAGATTTACTTAAAAACAGTGTTACTAACCTAACAACTGCAGTAATTTGTTTAACAAATGTAGAAAGAGAGGTCATAAAATTCACTTAACAACTGTCTCAGTAACAGAAATTTTGGGCTCAATTGTGGTCGTAAGTCGAAGACTACCTGTAATGGGCTTTGTCATCTTTTAAAATCTTACATTTTTGGCAGTTTTGCACACTGCTTGTGTGTTTTACTAAGAAAGGTGAGCCTTTGTCTATTCAAATGAACATTCACTTTTCAGTATACCCTTCATTATCCAGATCTCTTATGTCTCTCTATGGCTTAGTCTGATACTTCTGATTTTCCTTTGAGTGCTGTGCTTTTGTAATCTGATTAAAAGTTTAATGAGAGCTTGCTGTACATTTTTCTTCCCAATTCTTTTTCTGCCAAG